GAGCACAGGACAGACTAGGGCCCATGACACAGATCTAGGAGCGATCCATATAGAGAAGATGGTGGAATTCATGGGAGAATATAAAACCACAAAGTATGTAGAGGTAAGATGGTTCAGCATAGAGCTTTGGGGGATGCCTAGTGAGGGTTGGGACAGGGATGATGATCATGAAAAAGAGAATGAGGGGAGGCAGTCAGGTAGGAAAATTAAGAAAGTACTTAATGCAAACTCAGAGAAGTGTCTCTAGGAAGAGAGGGTGATCAACTAAGTGTCAAATGCTGAAGAGAGGGTAAAGAAGACGGGACATGAGAATGGGCTATTATGTTTGGCAACTGGTAACTCTGGAAACAGAAGTTTCAGTTGAGTGACAAGGCATGAAGTCAGATTGCAGATTGAGAAGTGAGAAAAGTTTAAACAAGTACATACAGTGTTTCTTAGTCTGGCTATGAGAGGAGTCATAAATATAGGATGATGGTAGCTTGAGGGGATGGTAGGACAAAATGTAAGGCTTTTTTTTTTTTTAAAGCATAGCAGTCTTGGGTTTGCAGGTATCTGGAAAGGAGCCAGTAGATAAGTAGGGAAAGACTGAAGATAAAGAGGGGGAGGAGATGATTTGGGGGGCAATCTGCTGGAGGAGGTGAGAAGGAATGGGATGAAGAGTACAAATAGAAGGGCTAGCAAGAAGCTGCCCAGGTACTGCAGTAAGGACCCACTATTTGATAAAAGATTGTTGGAAAAACTGAGCTATTAGGTTTAGACCAACACTTCATACCAAATGGATGTGACATAGGTATAAAAGGTCATATCATAAACGCAGTAAAGAAAAAGGAAGAAATTACCTATCAGATTCATAGAGAGGGAAAAAGTTCACAGAAGATGGATAATTTTGATTACATAAAATTAAAAAGTTTTTGCAAATAACAAAAGCAATATAGCTAATATTAGAAGGGAAACAATTAAGTGGGGAAAATCTTTGCAGGTTTCCCTGATAAAGGTCTCATTTCCAAGATATATAAAGATCTGATTCAAATCTGTAAGACTAAGAGACATTCCCCAACTGATTGATGGTCTAAGAATATGAATAGGCAGTTTTCAAGCAAAGAAAGCCAGGTCATCTATAGATACAAGAAAAACATGTTCCAAATCTCTAATAATTACAGAAATGCAAAGTAAAGTAATTTTGAGCTTTCACTTCATACCCATCAATTTGGCAAAGACCACAAAAAAAGAAAATGGCAGCATGTGGGAAAACAGGCACATTGATGCACTACTGGAATTCTGAAGGGGTTCAACCATTCTGGAAAGCAGTTTGGAATGAGGTCCCGAAAGGTACTAAACAGTACATGCCCTTTGACTCAACTATACTTCTAGGCCTATGTCCCAAAGAAATCAGAGAAAGAGGAAAAGGTCTTACATATATAAAAACATTTGTAGCAGCTCTTTTTATGTTGGCAAAAAACTGCAAACTGTGAAGAGGGTGTTCATTAATTATGGAATGATTGAACGAATTGTGGCAAAGGAATGTACATATTATACTGCAAGAAATGAAGAAAAAGATGTTTTCAAAGAGGCATTGAAAGACTTGTATGAACTGATGCAGAATGAAACGAGCAGAATCGGAGAAACACTTTATACCATAACATTATAAAAATGAACAATTTCAAAAAAGTTAAGAATTCTGATTAACCATGATTCCAAAGGATTAAAAAATGCTGCCCACCTTATGATAGAGAGCTAGGCTATTATGCAGAAAAAGACATGAATATTTGGAGAATTTGTTTTGCATGACTGCGTTTATGTGACAATAGGCACCCTTCTTGCTTGCTTTCTTGATAATTGAATAATATTTTATAAAAAGAGATGCCTCTTCAGAGATTGGCATAAAGGAGAGAATGGAGGATGTTCTCGAGGTTTTAAGATGCATAGCAGGAACGAAGGGGATCATGGCAAATGGCCTCTTTTCATGGTTTGGTATGGGAAGGGGTCCTTTGCTGAGATGGTGTTTCTGAGAGAGTAATGTGGGAAGACTGAGGATAGGTTTTAACAGACTCTGTGGTAAATGCCAGAGACTAAAATAGGGAAGAGTAAAAGGGTCACCTCACAGCAGTAGGGACCCACTTGAAATTGGATAACTTTGTAGTGGACCCAGTCAGTAGGTTTATGGGATTTCCTCCAGTGCTGTTTGGTAGCATGTTAGTAGGGGTGGAGGCGGTGGAAGCTCTGTTCCAGGTTCCCTCTAATTGTTACCTTTTGTGCTCTCCCACCTTCCAAATAATACTGTAGTTATAGTCAATTCTGCAATTATGTGTATTTCAAAAACACAAATTTATTCCAATGTAACTGATATAATAGGGAACATTTTTAGCATGACACAAATTTCCAGTTAGCTTCTGAACGATTTCTTCCCCAAGAAACAGTGAAAATGCAGAAAACTGCGTCACTTTATAATAACTCACAAGCTCCAACTCTTCCAATGCCCACCTCCACAAGCAAACTTCAGGTCTTTGTCAAGGTGAGGTGCCATTGTCCATCTTGTGGTGTAGTAGAGGTGTGAGCAGAGAAGGGCTGGTCCACTCCACCCCTACCCCACCCCACCCAATCTTCTTCCACTACAGCCTCCTGACCCCTGGAGTTTCAGCTTTTTCAACTTGCTGTACAGCCTAATGCCACAGACAGAGCCACTACTGATGTAATATTTATTTATTAACCATTCAACATGTATAAAACTGTGTTGCTGACAAAGTTTTTTGGCACTGTGCATTCCATTTTCCCCTTAAGTTCTGTGATCTTTACTGTGTACCATCTTGCATAGAGCTGCGCTTTTTGGGAATGCGTGTGTCCTGATACAGCAGAACTGTCTGTACTTTGTATTTTTTTTTATTTACTTATTAAATACATTGTTATTCTCCCCCAGTAGAATGTAAGCTCTTTGAGGGCAGGGACTATTTTAATTTAGTCCCAGAACCTAGTAAAATGCCTGGCACAAAGGTATTTAATAAATGCTAGGGGAAATGAATTAAATTGAAACAAGGAGGAAAACACAATCTGGTGGCTGCAGAGACATATTTTAATAGTTTACTAGAGGGCTGCTCCTAGCTCGGTTTTAATTTTCAACGGGATATAAAAGGAAATAGAAATTAGTGAATTTCTAAGGCCATAGAGAAGTATAATTATATGTAGAAATAAATCTGTATGTTGAGTTTTTACATAGCTGAGTTCTGTGTCTTAACATATAGACACCAAAATATCACTCTTCATGTTGTTCTGTTCTTCCTTTATGTATTTTAAATGACAAAATTTGGCATGCTAGGATAGTCCTCAAACTTTTTTTGTTTTTGGACTCAGCCTCTCTTGTGGGAATTTCCTTGCTCTGGACCTGTCTTCTCTTTTCTGGAAATTTCCATATTGAATAGTGAAACGAGTTCATGCTCCGTGTGCCTGATACAGCTAGGGGCTTACCAGCAAAACCTAGTGTATCCCTTTTACATCACAGACGGAAAAACTAATCAGATGTACCTAAGTAAGAACTTTCTCCCTTCCTATAAAACCTGTGAATGAATGAAATGGCATTTGTTAAGTGTTTACTATGTGCTAAACACTATATATTATCCTTACCTGTGTCAGCAAGCCACCTTAGCATGGAGATGTAATTCCAGCTATCTCATACATGGAGCAGCTTGCAAAGTTGGCTGTGCCAAGCCTGGGGGCGGTGTCTCCACCAGATCATCGTCTCTTCCCTCCTTTGCCTTCTTTCCCCAGTCCCCTATGGCCTACGGTTTTAAAATTCCCTGGCTGAATCCTTCCCTTATTGTCCCTGCCTCCATTTTCCTGAACCATGTTAGGTTCTTCTGTGTCAATCAAAACATCTATTTTATTATCTTATTCTATTTATTACCTTAGTGCTTTAAGCACTGCTGACCTGCTTAACTCTTGTGAAAGCCTCATTTCTATCCCAAAACTGTAGGAATGGACTGAGATCAAATGAATGCAAAATGTATATGTACAACATGGGCATTTAGATGGCACAGTGGAACGAGTGCCAGGCCTGGAGTCAGGAAGAGCCGAGTTCAAATCCTGCCTCAGACAATTACTAGATGTGTGACCCTGTGGAAGTCACTTAACCTTGTTTGCCTCAGTTTCCTTATCTGTCATAATGAGCTGGAGAAGGAAATGGCAAACCATTTCAGTATCTTTGCCAAGAAAACCTCAAATGGGGTCATGAAGAGTCAGATATGACTGAAATGAACAACAACAATATGTACAACACAGCACAGTATACTTTGGTAAAAATAACTACCTTTTATTTAAAAGGAGGTTTCTTAAAAATAAGATAAAGATTGATGTGGTTTATTTTGCTCTTTCCTTGAAAAACCATCTTTTGATTCACAGTTCTCTGGAGAAGGCAAATAAAGGAAGCAAACAAAGTCAAACAGACTAGTTCCCCTTTCCCAGCCAAGCAAAACTTCGAAAACAAACAAAAGTCAGTCTAGACACCTTACCTTTCCACTAAACCAGCAGTCTTTAAGAACTGCCTTTGCCACTGGTCACTACTACAATCAATGAACAACCTGTTGCCTTATGCTTGGATTACCTGGAGACCCAAACTGGAAAGAAAAGTCTAGAAGTTAACCTCCCGGAGGCAGTGGTAGAAATCCAGGGAGATCTATTTCTATGCATTAAACCCAGACTGTTTCTCTCAAGAACATCCATTTTCCTCCGCACTCAAGCCAAGTCCAGATCTGAGAATAAAAGAGGACCCTCTTAAAAACCACAGAGAAATACAGCATGAAGACTCTGCAGTGATTTCTGAGCCATGTGGCATAAACAACAAAGTGGCAGGGGATCAGGGATTCCCCATGCCTGGCCACCACCTGCTTTTCTAAGCTCTCCCCATGTTGGAAGCCATGCTGTTGACTCACCAAGGCAGAAAGGACCTGAGTTTTCATATAATCCTAGATCTGGGAGTGACCTTAGAGGCAATCTAGTGCAACCCTCTTAATTTAGAATTTCTGTAGGAATTTGAGCACGAGGTCCCGAAGCCGAACCCTGAGCATCTCATCATTGTCACAGATGATATGGGTTGAATCTTCTTCAATCTGGATAAGGGTCTCAGCCTCCTGGAGGAGGACGATGTGTCCTTTAGCTGTGTCCTCCACTTTCACATCACTGAAGCCATGCTAGCAAGGATCAAAGAAGACAAGAGATTGGTGAGTCTTCTGGACTGGGAAAATAGTTAGCCACTGAATATCATAAAAATGGTGTGATTTCCACTTTGTTTATTATGTGGAGAAAGATTTAAAAACTGGCATTTCTAGTATTTCTTAATGCAAATTTTTAATCTAGTAAGTGAGCCCATCTCACTACCTGGAAAAAATAATTCATTTATAAGATGCTTTAAGGTTTGCTTGCTTCAGAACAGTTCATTACATTTTACAGAAGTGAGGGGCTATCAGAGACATCTAGTCCAACTCCCTTTTTTTTTTTTTTACAGATGAGACTGAAGCCTTGTCTATGGCCTGAGAGGCAGCAAATGTCAGAGTTAGGATCTCAACCCAAGTCCCTTACCTCCCAAATCCCCTATTTTTCACAAAACTGTCCTTTCATCTGACTACTTAGAATCAAGCCAATTTGAAAGAGGCTTCAAAAACTGGTGAAATTCCATGAAAAACCTGCCAAAGGCCTGGCCCAACAGAGGAAAGCTTCTGACTCCACAAAGTTTCCTGCTCAAAGTGAACAAAGCAGGCAGCTGTGTCTGGAGTCCTGGGGTCTGGGACTCCAGCCCAACTGCTCTTGCTGTCCCTCTAGCTACAGATGTGTGCCAATTCCCCCTGAAGACCCATTTCAAAGGACTGGGACTCCACTGGACATCAGGAAAGCACTGCTGCTCCCTGCATGTGCGAGGTAACGACCCTGCATTCAGTGAGTCTGTCTTAAGGGAAGGTCTGGAGGAGACAACGGGGGCTCCCAGCATTCTCTACTGCTCTGTGGGTTTCATTAGAAACCTATAGATAATAATATAAACCCTTGCGATGATAAATGGGAGAAAATGGGAGAAAATAGAAAGAAAACACATTGGCTTAACAGGATTCAATGACTAATCCATGCTAATACAACGTAAAGAGCTGGATGTCAACTCAAAGGGCCTGGGTGTGAATATAGGTTCTGCCACTTACAACTTATGTGACCCTGGACAGATCATTTCAGCCCTCTGAGTTCCTTACAGTGATAAGGACAAGGATCTCTGGAATGTCTGTTCTGAGTCCTCTTGGTCTGATGGATGAGTGCTTCACCTGGTCCGAGTGAGCACCTTATTTGTTCCAGGTGAACCTGGAGCAGGCTCCAGTCATACTTCACTTCCTACTACTACTCCCTGGCCATCTTCTGGACAGCTGCCTTGTCAATATGGCATATCCTTAATCACCATGCTCTCTGGCTCTGAAACCACAATCACATCAATTCTGTCATTATTCCTGGAAAGTGTGTGTCAGTATATTCCCCTGTGGCCTTGTTCATCAACCCTGTAATTCTCCAGACTAAAATGTCCACCTTTCGCCACCACTACCCTATGTATGTTGTCTTCCCAAGTGCAAGGTACATGATAAGTACCTGATAAATGCACTCATGTATATTCTCTCAACTTCTCCTTTCCTTCCCCTCTCCCTTCCCTCACTATTCCTATAAATTGATAGTTTTAAAGAGCAAGAGGTCGTAGATGGGACTAGAGAACATCTGAAAATCAGGGTCCCAAGTAGAAGTTAATGAACAATCACTGGGAAAGAATGTAACTAGACTGAAAGCTGCCAACAAAAAGTTCTTAAAACAATGAAGAAAGAGAACCCAAACAAGAGCAGCAATAGTCTTTTTTTAATTCTAGGTGAATGTGAGCTGGATTCTTACCTTCTCCAAAGTCTGAACAAATTGGTCCACAGGGATAGAGCCACTCAGGAGGGGCTTTAGAAGTTTACAGTCTGGGATGTCATCACTCACTCGCTTTCTCTTCTTGCTGGCTGGGGGCTGGCTGGGCCTAGGAGGAGCCTAGAGCATCAAAATAATTCAGTTCCCAGAAGCATAATAACAGCTAATGCATTTACATTTGGCAAGGCACCCTGGTCTTAACTCGACCAGGAAAAGCAACTGGCCTCTACAACCTATAGCTGCTAGGCTCTGGGCAAGTCCATTAACCTTAGAGTCTCTGTTTCCTCATTTGTAAAATGAGGATGATAAAAGCATATACCTCACAGGGCTATTGTGAGGATTAGTTGAGATAAAAGATATAACAAACCTCAAAGTGCTACTAAATGCTACTAGCAGCAGCAGCAGCAGCAGTAATAATAATGATACAGAACTGGCCCCAAACTCGCAAAGCTGGCTGACGACATGAGCCATGAGCCTTGGAGTCACACCAGAATGAGCCAACTGTAGAAGGGAGGGTCTTCCCTAGTATACTGTGGGTCCAGTGTTCCTGGACCCTTTAGTCATTCCCTCTCTGAAAGATCTTAGGGTATACAGATTGAAGTGCTAGCCTGAGTAAAATTTTAGGTTTAGGGTGTCAAACAGCTCTAACAAAGACAAAGAGAGAATACATCAGCTTATCTGCCTCAGACTTACTACCATCTCTTTCCTAAAAGACCGCGATTGTTTCATTTGTACAAGTCTTACCTCCCCTGCTGTCCCGTAAAAGCTTCAGTTGTTTTGTGATATCTCCTAGTGAGGCTTCTCATCAGGTTGGTCAGAGGGAAGTTCTTTTTTTTTTTTTTTGGCCACAACAACTTTATAAGAGATGTCTAAGACCTCTCTCTTTGTGGGAGTTCTGATATGTACTTGTGAAGGAAATACCCACATGAATGAAATCACAGATCTGTGAAATATTTTCCTTTATGCCTAAAACAGTGCTGTGCACAGCATTATTGGTTTGTTGGCTGGTTTAATGAAGTTTGAGAAAGTTTTGAGTTCTTTATTGTGCTGTGAACAGACACTTAAATAATTTGCAGTCTTCTCTATGAATAATTTCCTTCCCCTTTTATCTTGTATAGGCACGTAGCCAAAGATATAAGTGGAAAGAAATTTATATGCAGCTCATTCTTTGTTTCAGACATAATTTATCAAGTGGTCCAGGACCACAATTATGCTAGTTAAGGAAATACCACTGCTCTGGGAGCTATTTTCATTTTAAGCTTGGTAGACTATTGTGCTAGTTAAAGGTGAGGGGAGTGGAGAGGTCATGAGTATACTGAACAGAGGGATTCTTTATCATCCTAGCCCCAGCTCAACCAGTGTGGATCAAGTGGTCAGTGCGACACAGCTGAGACCAGGCCTCCATACTGTACCTGAAGAACATGCTTGTTATCTTTAGTATGCAGCACAGCGGAAACAGTTGCTAAGGAAATGCCAGGCTTAATCTCCAGGGGCACCAATGAATCTGCAAGCTAAATGCATAGAGTAGTTTTCAGCCAGGAATCATTCTGAAATGGGGGAAGACGCAAAGCTACCCTATCCAGATCAGGAACTAAAATGTAACATGGGATTTAAAACTTGGCCTTCTGGGCAAAGCCTTTGTACATTAAGGCCCACAGATTCCCCAGTACCCTCTTTCCATTCATCCTCTAGCACCCCTGTTGACCAGCCTGCTTGGGGGCCACCAGCTATCTAACGACAGGACATAGTTTTTTGCTATGATCACGCTCATTTTGCTACCATGAATGTGAAGGGTACCCTCAGGAATACTGAGAGATTTTCCCCCCAATGGAACCTTTCATGTACTTCACCATCATTCAGTTCCCTAAAGGACTAAAAAAATAATAATTGTAATAGCTGGCATTTATATAGTACTTTAAGGTTTGCAAAGTGCTTAATAAATATCTCATTTTATCCTCATAACAACTCTAGGAGATGAAAGGTAAAAGATTCTTAGCAAAAAATTAGCAAAAAAGTTCTTAGCAAATTTGCTAATAATGACAAAGCTGAGAGGAGGAAGAGAAGGGGGAAGGAGAAAAAGGGAGATAACTGAGGAGAGAATGAGAAGAGAACATCTTGCTTTAGTCTGACTCTTCCAGCAACATTTCCTAAGCTGGTGCTTTTCAGAAAGGACTCCAAGAATTCTCTTGGTGAGGCAGTTGTCCTTTGTCCAGCACACTTTATACAGCTAGTGACCTGAATACAGTTCTCAGTACCCTAGCAGTGTTTCTTTGTGGTCTAAGTTTTAGTTACTTTAGTCCCATCCTCTGCTCTTTAATCGGAGAGCCAAACTTCACTGTGGGCAGAGATCCGAGTTCACTGACCCACTCTGCTCTGGACTTTTTAGAATATTTATGGATAATAAATTCTTTCTTCCAAGAGTCGCAGATTCAATCTTTCCATCAGTAAATCAACAAATATGGAAGCAACAGAAGTGGTATTTAGGTGGAACACCGGATGCAGGGTTAAACCTGGAATCAGGAAGACCCGAGTTCAAATCCGACCTCAGATACTTGTTAGTTATGTAACCTTGGACAAGTCATTTTACCTCTGTCTGCCTCAGTTTCCTTATTATAAAAATGGGGATTAAGAACAGCACCACGTCAGAGTTTTTGAGAGAATGAAATGAGATAATACTTGCAAAGTACTATATAATGCTAGCTATCATTATTATTAATAATAACACTAATAAATAATGCCACTGCAGTTGAGATTTAGGAATTAGGAGACCTGGGTCTGAATCCTGTCTTCTATATTTCCTGGCTATGTAATCATGGCAAATCACTCAATCCCTTTGAGCCTTGGTTTGCTCATTTGTACAAGCGAGGATATCACCTGAGGCACTTAACTAACAAGGCCGCTGCAAAGTTCAAATGAGATCATTCAGGAAACCTTATAGCACTTTATTAATGTCAATCATCATCATCATCACTATCATCATCATCATCCTGGGCTTTGGTAAAGAAATATGAACTAGTCTCTCTGGCTCCTTTAAATTCATCATGCACACCATCACCAGATGAGTCTTCTTAAAACACCGCTTTCTTTAAACTGATCAAAAATTCACCTTATTTCTACACTGCTCAAGTATAGCTTACTTTACTCTGGCATTTAAGGCCCTTTCTAAGTTGATTCTATCCTTCCCTCACCCCAACAGTATTTCATCTTTTTCTAATTACATGTAAAGATAATTTTCAACATTCATTTTGGTAAAATTTTTGAGATGCAAATTTTTCTGCCTCCCTCCCCTCCCTAAGAATTATTCTACACTCTTATTGGCTTGAATTTAACCATTCTCTTCATTGTCTCTTATCTATTTCATCTCCCATGACACTTAGCGTTCTCATTTCTGTCTCTGGGCCTCCACTCATGCTAAGTGAGAAAAATGCAGAAGTAGAGGAAGGGTGATATTTTGAGAGGTGCAGGGAGAGAAGATGGGGAATGGGGAGACAGCTGTCTAAATTGCATCAAACTTCCTTTTACATGAATACCTGGCTTCTCACAAACATGATGGGGGTTTGAGGACTTTGCAGAAAAGAAGACTTGTGGGGAACATGATAGCCATACTTCATAGGTGAAGGGTGTCACTTGGCAAGGAGATTCAGTTAGTTCTATTTGGCCTCGGAGGCAGAAACAGGAGTAAGGGGGAGGGGAGTTGCAAGGAGTTAAGTTTAGATTTGATGTCAGCAAAAACAATTAGGAGTATGAAAATGGAAAAGGTTGTGTTGGCAGGGAGATGGCTCTCCCTCCTTGGAGGTCTTTACAGCAGAGGATGCATGGTCACTTGTCGGTATGTTGCAGTGAGGTTTCTTTTTGGGTATGGGTTGGGTTGGATGGTTGTTGATAGTTCTCTTAACTCAAAGATTCTGTGATTCTTCAGCGGTTCCTGTTTCCCTCTGGGATCAAATGCAAGCTCTTCAACTTGCCCATTAAAGCCCTCTGCAACCTGGCTTTCACTCGACTTTCCAGCCTGTGCTTTACTCTACATCACTCCTCTTCCTACATGTTGTGTTTCCACTAAACTTCTTCAAACCTGGCATTCTGCTGTCCTTGTGCATGGATCTCCTTCCTCCATGCTTTGATCTCTTAAAATCACTCCAGACTCCAGTTAGGTTTCACCTGCTCTGCAAAGCCCTTCCTGATTCCTCTGGCTCTCATGTGATCTTAACATTCCTTGCATGTTGTATTTGCTGGTAGAATGGAAGTTCCTTCAGGGCAGGGGCTGTTTTTCAGTTTTGTTTTTGTATCGCCAGCTAGCATCATGCCCAACAAATGCATGCTGAATGAGATGACTTGTGTGTAACGTGTGTGAAATACTATTTAGAAAAGGCAAACACTTTACTCCCCTTTTAATCTTAGTTTCTTACTCTTTATCTACATTGCCACTTTTTGAACTACATATCTGATGCGTTTTCTCTTTTTTAATTTGTATCATGTTGGTGAAACCCCTTTAGCTAGAGAATGAATAAATGGAAGAACATTTGTTAAGTGCTCATATGTACCAAGCACTGTGCTCAGCATTTACTATTCTAAGTAGATATGTGGTAGACATCTCAAACTCAATGCATCTAAAACAAAACTCGTTATCTTTTCTCTAACATCCTCCCCTCTTCCAAAACTCCTTCTCAGTGCTGAGGGCATCAGCATCCTTCTGGAAAGCCAGGCATGCAATTTCAGTGTCATCCTTGCTTCCTTCCTTCCTTGCACTCAGCCCACACCTGTACACCACCTCTGGTACACATTGCCCTTCCCTCCACTTGTGCAGCCCCCTCTCGGCTGAAGGCCGTCATTCCCTCACACCTATACTATCTGTACAGCTTGCTGTTTGGTCTCCTTGTCTCAAATCTTTCTGCCTTCCCCTCTATCCTTCACAGAGGCATCACATGACGTTCCTAAAGCACAGGCCTGATCGTGTTGTCTCCTTGTTCAGTGAACTCCAATGGCTTCTTCTCAGCTCTAGGATCAAACACAAAATCCTCTGCATGGTTTTAAAGTCCTTCACAACCTGGCCTCCTCCTCCTCCCTTTCCAGTTTCTTGTGCCTGCCTCTTCTGCTTGAACCCTTCTATTCCGTGACACTGATGTCCTGGCTGCTCTCCACATAACACTTCATCTCCCGACTGCTGTCTCCCATGCTTGGAATGCCTCCTGACTTCCCTGGCTTCCTTCAAGATTCACATCTAATCTCATCTTTCACAGGAGGCCTTTCCCAGTTCCTGCCACTGTAGTATTAAGACTGATTAGAGCAGAAGTGGCAAACACATGGCTGCGAGCCCAAACCAGATTAAAATATAATTGGGAAATATTTTTAAAAAATAAATAAAAGTACAATAAAACACAGACAGATACTAACATGGCTTTAATATGTACCCCACAAGGATGCTTAGTGACCCCTATTTTTATCTGAGTTTGACACTACTGGACTAGGGGGTCCTTAGGGTCTAGTACTACGACAGACAGCAAAGTCCAGGGGTACTTAGCACAGATGGCAATACCTAGGGGTCCCAAGAGTGTAGCAGAAGGAAATATGGGATAGTCCTTGGGACTGAAAGTATATTAGCAGGGTGTGGTGAAGCAGAGACAATGGGTATATATAACGTGGGAATACATCTGGTTAGGCACAGAGCCATTAGGGATTGAGCAGGTAAGATCCCTTTCCTGCTCATACTTATGAGGCTATCCTTGATTTCCAATAGGGATCTTCAAAACCAGGACTCTTCAGAACACTTGAACATATTAGGCTTATGATTTGACACCTCTTCTGGAATGGAGGGGCTAGAAAGATGCCATAAACAAATATACTACAGTTTTTATTCTAGAAAAGGTGTGGAATTCAAGGGCTTTCTTTAACCATCTACTTGAACAGGATTTCTTCATGTACTAGGTCCCATATGGGCTGACCACCAAATAAAAACAACGAAAATGTCAGAATTTTTATTGGCACTAACAAAACTCCTGGGATTCTTATGATTAAGAACAGAAATGGAATTTTTGGGGGGGCAGAGGTGGTGGTTATCATACAAGGAAGCTGTGGAAAGAACTGTTTCCCTTTGAGTAATAAGACCATTATTTTGCCTTTGTAGCAAAACAAAACAAAAGCTGCTGCAGGCTTTCAGACAGGTCCTTCCCAAAGCAATCAGAGGAGTACTTTCAAGTGGCAACATACACCCTACTCTGAAAGGAGAAAAAAACATTCTGGTCTCTTGCCCTATGATGCCAAGAGACAATAGCAGTAATGAATAATCCGGTGAGCAGAAATGATGCAGAGAGGGGCAGGATTGCCAAGATTAGCATCAGGGCATCATCCAGCCCCAGCATATGTCAGAGAGGTGGGAAGATAGGCAAATATCTGTACTTAATGGAAGCAAATAGGTTTACTCACTGAGCAAGCAAAACAGGATGAGGATGCTGAAACTTACCCACAGATGCACCATATGTTATTTCCTGGAACTGACCAAATTCCCTTTGGGAAAGACTATTCTAATTGAGATATTCACCCAAATGTATTCAAAAGACAGGCCAAGAAGATATGGGGCCACCACAACTAAACTTAATGTTTTAAAAATCCTTTGGCTCAAAGCCCTTCCAGCTTGGTAGTACAGGCGAGAGCTTGTGTTCCACAGGCATATGTGGGATTGCCTTTCACCATGAAAGGCCACTGGATGTGGGGGCCACAGCGACTTATGGAAACCTCTACTAAGATGTGGTGGGGCTGTAATCTACAGCAGTGGAGGGAGTACTCACAAAATCACAGATCTTTCAAAGTATTTGGAGAAATAAGCTACTTTGGCAGTACTTCTGAGGCCAAAGACAGAGGGATAGGTGAAGTTCCTAATAAATTAGGAGAATCCAGGATGGATGATTTAGCACTCAGCTTCTAGGAAGGGTATTTCAGTGATCAAGACACTAAGGACCCCTCTTAAGCTGCAATGATGAAAGGTGGGGGTGGTCTCATGTATGAAGAATTACATGGATCAGAGTGACTGGACCTTTCTTGTTTTCACCAAAGAAAGGAGGGAGAACAAGATGAAACCAGAGTAGGAGGATTTAGGCTTTTGGTAGATATTGGAAAAGATTGTTCAGAGGTCCCAGAAATCTATGCCCATGGAGGATGGGAGACATACCATCTGTATGGCAGCAGTTTTAGTGCAATACTTTAATTTAATGTAATACTAGCTAGACAGAATTCTTGGTGTTCTTTTTCAGCCTTCAGGCTGGAAGAACAAAATCCTTGACAGCAGGAGGTGCAGGGTTGAAAAACAGATTCAAAAGAGAAGTAGCACATCTGCAGAGCCCCATGGTAGATTAGATACATGAAGTCATATGAACAACAAGGTACACACTGACTCTTCATCAACAAGAGGAGGTGAGAAGAGGTGTATTCAGGTCTTCATTCTACTACTTTATCAGAGGTATGACTATGAGCAGGCCTGTAAATCTCTGCCCTACCTATCACACTGGGTTACACTGGAGGATGAAACATCAAATGTGAAAGAACAAAATCTTAAATGCAACATAAAAGTAAGGTATTATTCATAATAACAAACATGAAGACTATGCATATCTATATTACTTCTACTTCCATAATAGTTTGTGATCACCTTTATAATTTATTTCAGAACCTCTACCCAATGTTATTTCCATAAAACAATAAAAAAATACTGTCAACAAAATCATAGCTATTCCAGAAGTTAAATGGTGGGGGCAAGATGAGGCTGCGTATTCTCCAAGGCTGTGCTCTGGTTCAGTGTATCACAATGATGGAGTATTACTATGAACAATGATACCATTTAAATGATTAGTACTTCATGATTTTAAAAATCCCCTCTCTCTTCCTTTCTCCCTACTTGTTTAATAATGTTCTTTGGGTTTGGCCAAAAAGAAAGCTGGCTCTGGGCATTTCAATAGACTCAAATAAGCAGGAAAGCTATGATTTCTGTGATCAGAAGTAAAGTAGCTCACCTCAGGCATGATTTCAATCTTCTCATAGCGGCGTTTAAAGGGCAGGGCGAGTACCTCCGCACGGCGATAAGACATCGCAGGGGGCTGGCAATCAATCATTAGGTCCATACGATGTGACTGGGCAGGGGGAGGCTGGGTATATTGCTCAGGACAAACCACATGGAGGGGCTGCAGAGGCAGATGAGATGGGGTTAGGGAACAGAAAAGAAACGCAGTATCTCTCTGAATCAAAGCTACCTCTCTACAATGTGGTCACAGTGACCTGACCCACTCCTTCCCTTAATTCCATTCTTTCAGGCACTCAGGCTGGCACTGCTGGAGTCATTTTTGGCTCCTCTTCCTCTTCCACCCCCGCAATATCTAATCTAATAAGGACAATAGATATGGAGTCAGAGGACCTGGATTTGGATACTTGCTCTGCTACTTACTACCTGTGTGACCCTGGGCGAGTCCCTTCTCCTCTCTGGCCTCAGTTTCCTCATCTGCAAAATGAGGGGGTTGGATGAAATGATCTCTAACATTACTCCCAGCTCTAACTGAAGAATCTATGATCTATTTACAGGCTGAACCCCTCCTCCAGTAAAATGTAGGCTTCTTGAAGGCAGGGACAGGTTTTTGTACTGCCTTTGTCTCTCTAGCATCTAGCACAGTATCCTGGCACATAGGAGGCACTTAATAGATGTTCATGAGATTGGACTGATCTTAAGTCTTACTGAATCCTTTACCAGTCTCTAAAGTTGCCCATTCATTTCACATCTACAGCAAATGCTTTAAGCTGAGCCCCTCACCTTCTCTCACACCACAAACTACTGTGACAGTCTCCTATCTCTTCTCCCTTTCTTAAATCTAGTTCCACTTGGCAGCTAGAATAATTTCAATTTTCAACATGTAATTTCCCTGCTCAACAATCTATGCTGTGTCTCTATTGCTGAATATATCAAATTTAAATTCCTATGCCTGACTTGCATGGCTTTTTATCCACTATACTCTTTGTAATATCAAATCCAATTTTTGTTACTCTTTAAAGTGGAATTTTGGTTCCATCCAAGCAAATTTGCTTCCTTGCTCCTTGCTTTAGAAATAAGTCTTTAAACATGTTATCTTCCCTACCTGAAAGCTGGTTCACCTATTTCCTTCCATCCTGCCATTCCATACCCTGATAATCAGACTCTAAATTAGGGCTAAGCTTTCAGGGGAATCCATGAACTTGGATGGAAAAAAAAGTGTCTTTATTTCAATATAAATAGCTTTCTTTGTAATCTTTTACATTTTATGCATTTAAAAACATAATTCTGAGAAAGGGTTCAGAGGCTTCTCTAGGCTGCCCAAGAAGTCTATGACACAAAGTTAAGAATCCCTGTTAGTAAATCTCCTCCATTAAGTTTTCCTGATAAATAAATCCTACCTAACCAATCACTCCTTATCATTACTCATGTGCAACCTGAGTTATATGATACAGTAACACTTATCATCTGGCACTCAAATAGCTGGCACTGAAACAAACCTTGTAGGCATAGACAACCCCCAGGGAGATCCCACAGCTTCGCTGGGAAGAGATGAAGACACCAAGTACACAGGCAAAAAGGAGGAACACACTAATGGAGGCAATGAAGAACAGAACTAGTGATGGGAAGAAAGGAAAACAGCTCAATGGGAAAGTGTGGGAAGTGCTTCTTGGCAGAGAAGAAAATGGTAAGAAATCAAGAAGAAACCAAAGAGGGTGCAATGCTGTTCCAAATCGCCTGTAACCGACATCTCATTCTCTAATGTCAGTAAACTGAGGTGCTGTAATACTTGCATTTATTTACACTTTGCAAATATTCTTAAGTAGCTCTCATGTTCCTGGGACTCCTTCCCACCCTCAATTAGACCCTGTAAGGTCCTTGAGGAGAAAAAGCCGTTTCTAATCCTCTCATTATCACTCTGCATCAGTTATCAGATGATTAGCCTGAACTGTGACTACACTGCAAGCTCAGCATCCGGGTTCCTCTCTGTTGGAGGCAGCCTCATGATATGTTCTTCACCACCAGGTGGTGCTAGAGTCACATAACAAGCAGCCATCTATCTCTTGGGCATCCAAACGACAAATTTCAGTTCTTTAATATAAAAATGCTTTAAAAGATTAACTTACTACAACATAAATATTTCACAAACTAATGAAAAAACTAAAGAATTATAACCTTTCAGAGCAATGGAAAATAAAAACACAAATCTACAGACAGTAAATTCAGTAACCGATAATTGTCCCTTTAATACCTAACCACATCAGACAATCTAGAGCTCTATGCTTTCCCTTAACTCCCCACAAGCCAGCTGAACATGGTATTTCTGTCCTTTAGACCTGCCTGCTTCCTTCTTCCTTGAATTCCCTTCTTTTTAACTCTGGAATGGTCACTAACATAGTACCCACCACTTTTTTTTACTTTCCTATCTGACTCCAATTTCAGCCCAAAGTGCTTTTTTTCTTGCTCTTCCTCTTTAGAAATGATATATTGGACTTACTGAAACATTAGTACATAATAGAGAAGTCTAAATACTTACAAGGCATGGATTAAATAACTAAAAATTTAGTAAGAAGACAAGAGAATGGAAGAGGCTTTTAACAATTTTCTTACAGGAATCAACGGCCAGAGAGGTACTCAAATTACTCCAGCATCTCTCCTGCAAATATATTTTTGTACAACTGTTTCAGGCGTCTGTTTAAATGAGAATGTTTTTGCAATAGTTTTCTTCCTATGTTTTGCTAAAATTAACATTAAAATTAGACTACATTTCCTGAACGCAAACAGGTGAAGTGGTAAGGAGAGACAACTTGAAGGTTTTGAGAAAGACAGTTAAGCTGGGAGTAAACACTTGCTAGAGATCATTAACAAGGCAGATAATGGAGACTTACCTTTCTTGAGGCTTATTTTTTGTTCCTATTAGATATAAGCTCTCTAAGGTAGAGACCATGTTTCCTACTTCTGTTGTAAATCTCCTTAGTGACAGAATATTATACTTTTTTTCTACAGTGGATTTTCCAGTAATGCTGCTTACTGTCAGGAAGCGAGGTAGCAGAGTAGACGAAGCACATGCTGGGAGTCAGGACAACCCAAGTTCAAATTTTACCTCAGACACTTATTACCTATGTTATTGTGGGCAAGTCACTTAGCCTATCTCAGCCTTCGTTTCCTAATCTGTAAAATAAGGAAGGTTGGACTTGATGTTTCTAAGGCCCCTTCCAACTGTAAATATATGGTCCCATGTCCATGGGACTAATAATTCAGATGATAGTTTTCTGTGCCATTATCTACCAAACAATCCTTTCTTAATAATTTAAATATAATTATCTATCATTTACATTTAGAAATAGTTTATAATTATTTTATATTTATTTAAATATAATTTTAAAGATAAGAGAAGAATCTTATTTGAACTTTTTAGTTAATTAAGGATAGACAACAAGACAAACAACTCCAAAGGGAAAGAAGAACCATTTCAACAAACATTTCAAGAAATAATACAAAGGAAAAGAAGGGAGGGGGAAAAGAGGAACTAATACAAAGAAGAAATAAGATTGGCAATCTGCCTGGGAGTAAGGATAGCATTGTACAAGAAATGCATAAGTTACTGAAGATTCCCTTCAAGACTAATGAAAGAAGTCTCGAAATAACATGAATTTACTTTTTAACTCAGTGCTGTTTTAATCACAAACCTGTCCTATATCCTATCACTGTCTTTTGGCTATATTTCCTAGTATTTAAGTTGACTACAGCTATTCCCTTTCATATTCTGACTAAGATTATGGCTATCCAGATTTCCAGATTCCACACAGATCTAGTACACTTCCAGAAAGAGAGAGAGAGAGAGAGAGAAGAGAGAGAGAGAGAGAGAGAGAGAGAGAGAGAGAGAGAGAGAGAGAGAGAGAGAGAGAGAGAGGAGAGAGAGAGAGAGTGTGTGTGTATGTATACACATATACGAGAGGGACAGAGACATAGAGAACAATCATTCTGGGCACACTATGCAGGCTTTTTCAAATAGCACATCACTGACAAAATTACAGTAATGACTATGGCTGTGCAAAAACCACTGAAATGCTTTTCACTTAGAATCAGGATGCTCTCTGGTTGAAAAAAGAAGATGAGTAGAAGGGAGTGATTTTTCCTATTCACTTAGTAGGCATGTAATAAATGTTTATTAACTGAATGACTATTCCTTTCAGTCTTTGTTGTAGAGGAGGTACTTGGTCTAGTTTTAAAATAATGTACAGGTAAAAATAAATATTAGTTCAGTCTACTTTCTTCCATCATGCCTCTTTCAATGAAAGCTTCTTTCAAAAAGCAGACATCATAGCTTCCTTTTCTAATTTTAGGAGTAGCTGAGACACCTTCATAGATATCTCTTTAAATAAGGTGACACAGAACCTCCAACCGTGCATCCAGGAAGTTTGGCCCATATGAAGTAGAATTTCTGACAGCACAGAGGACATCAAGTTCATATCCTCACCTGTACTTCCTTGAGCAGCTTTGACACTTGAATGAAATTGAGCCTTGTATCGATTGGACAGTAGATACATTTCATGGCCAAAGGTTGGTAGGGAGCCAGTGCATCTAGGTATGAGAAGTCAGGTTCTGTGGAAAGAACAAAAAAAGATTTTAAAAGAAAAGGAGGCAACAAAGCAGGTCTCTACCAACGGAATAGCTAACTGCTAGTTCTATTTTCTCAACTTTCTATTTCTAGTCCTCTATTTCCTTCTCTGCTCCTCAATTTCCAAAGGGGATTGGATTGTGGGCTCTAAGGTTTCTTCTAGCTATAAATCTATGATTCAATGATCTCATCCCTTCTTTTCTTCATTTGAAAGTGCCAACTTCAACCATATCACCTTTTTTTCTTAATAGTTAAATTGGTGCTTTAATAAAACTCCTGAAGGTCCAAAAAGATACTTTAGTATTCCAAAAGATTAGTGATTTCACTGGTGTGGACCTACCGCCTCCACTGATTCTGAACACAGTAACAGAAAGTACTTACAAGGAGTTGTGGTCAACTACATGAAATCAGCTTGGTTCATGTTTTCAAGAGATTGTTGAGGATGGGGGAAGATTACAAACAATATTGCCTCATAAAACACTCTCTATTAACTCATTTAGTTTTCTGACATAGAAAGACTGGATTAATTTTCAAATCTCAAAAACAATGAATGATTAGGGCCTCAAAAAGCTGGAGAAATGTCACAAAGACAATGCCAGTGCACTGCAGACAGACCCATTCTAAGCACCACATTTATTTCAGGTGTGCTTGCTCAGTACTGCCCTGATGACCAACCAGCCAGAGTGGGGTGTCACAGAGTACACCTGGCTTAAGGAAACCTAAGCTTGAGTCCAGAACTTCCACTTAGTCGTTTTATGAATTTGGACAAGTCATTTAACTTGTTTGAGTCTTAGCTTCCTCATAAATAAGATAGCGATGATAAGAACATACATACCATTTATCTTACCACCCTCTATTTCCATAAATATGAACAATTGTTATTATTGGTGTTTAAATGTCTTTTACTTTAAGCAGGTTTCTACAATGAGCTTGGAATGTTCTACCACAGGTTGGGCACAAATAGTTCATGTGAACATTTGTGGTGGATTTTCTAAATCTGCACATCTTGCATTTCTTTTGAACTACTTCAATTCTGCTTTGCTCACAGAGCACAGCACCTTCTCTGATGGGGGCACGCCATGCTGAGCGGTCCTGTGCCAGTGTCTCCCATGTGACACAATCAATTCCAAAATTAAGAGACCTTAAGAGTGTCCTTGTATTGCTTTTTCTGACTACCATGTTAACGCTTGCCCTGTGTGAGTTCTCCACAAAATAGTCTTTTTGGCAAGCATACGTTTTGCATTCGAACAACGTGGCTAGCCCATTGGAGTTGTGCTCTCTGCAGCAATTCTTATGTAACTCTCTACCTAAGTCTGAGTTGTAAGGCTCAAATAACTTCTTTGGTAAAGTTGTTTTTGCGTGCAAACTTTAAGGCACTGTCTGCGTGATAGCTCTTATTATTGTTTCCTCATCTGTAAAACGGAGATAACACTTATACCATCTACTTCACAAGGCAGTTGTGAGACTTAGAGCATTATATAAACCTTAATACACTGAATAAATGGGAACCATTAATAAAAAGAACAATTAAATTCAATGGTTCAATAGAGCATTTGCTGAATGCCTAACAAGGTGCTGTAGTAAGGACTTCAATTGGAACTGCCTGACTATAAAGGTTGTGAAGATACGGGTGATCCTCTCTGGAGGCAGTATGTCAGCTTCAAAGTCAGGAAGACCTGGGTTTATGTCCTGTCACTGACACACACTTGCTATGGGACCTGAGCAAATCACTTTTCGGTATTCTTAGGCAATTCTCTAAGACCCCCAAGTTGCAAAGAAAGTGCCGAGCTGAATTGGTAGAGGGAATTCCTTTATTTGGAAGTTCTCTCTATCAATGAACTCACTGGTTCAGTTTCTATCCCTAATCTTTCACCTCCAAATTCTTGTAGCTATTAAAGCTCAAAGTTATTTAGGAAGTACTTTACAGCTTAGAGAAGACATAGTTCTCACAATAAACCTCAGATATATATAGCACAAGTATGATTATCTTCATTTTATGGTTGAGAAAAGCTGAGGCCCAGACAGGGGAGGTGACTTGTCCGGGGCGTCTAGTCCTGGGCATACAGCTAGTAAAAAACTTTTTGATTCTGAGGGCAGTGCTGAGACTGCCCCTCAACTCCTCTTTCTCTCTCCTGTTTTGGGAATGTAATCCTGCCTGCCTTTAGCTTTGAACTAGGTAGTGGGGTGAACATTTTTGAATACATAAATGTGTGGGGAAAGAAAAAAACAAAAGGGCCTAGAAAGGAATCCTCTGCAAACCGAGTTGGCAAGGCCACACCCATGTGGGCAATCAAGCACTGGCTTGGACAGTTTGTAGAAAAAGTTGCACAACATTTGATAACATTTCATCATTGTTAATCATAGAATTCTCCACTTAAGTTTTGCTCTGCAGCTAGATCATGGTGTACAGGTGACCCTTGATTTGAAAGGTCCCATGCCACTGAAATGTTAAGTTCTGGCAGATCTTATCCAAGCTGCAACAGGTTTGAGGATGGGCTTGGCAACATGCTATCTGCCTATAGTGGCTAGGTGGTGCAATGGATAAAGTGAGGGGCCTGAAGTCTGGAAGACTCATCTTTTTGAGTTCAAATCTGGCCTCAGATACTTACTAGCTGTGTGACCCTGAGCAAGTCACTTAACCCTGTCTACCTCGGTTTTTCAATTGTAAAATGAGCTGGAGAAGGAAATGGCAAACTACTCTAGTATCTTTGCTAAGAAAAGCCCAAATGGGGTCATGAAGAGTCAGACATGGCTGAAAAGACTGAACCTATCTGCCTATCATCTGTGGATCACCCTCACTAGGTTTGGAGAGGCTCATCAGAAGGCTGGCCACTGGCACTAGGAGTGAGGAGGATGAAAAACTGCCAAAGCAACTCTCAAAGACCCTCTCCTAAGCCAGAGAGGAGTTTCATTCAGTTTCTGGTTAAAGATAATCACACCCACCAAGTTATAGAGCCCTGGATCTACATCCAGGAATCTGGAAATATGATTACATTATATGATATGTATAGTTCACAGAGCTACTACCTATAGAAAAATTAAAGCTCAAAGACATAATAATTTATTGTTAATTTTAACTTCTAATTATATAGTACCTTTTAAAGCCAAGTCTGTTAAATTATGAATAAAACTGTACTATCTCTTACTTATTTTCTTGTCAATATTCTTAATAGTTAGTAGTAGAGTCAACCTTCAACTGCTAATGCAAATATATATGGGAACAAAGCAGCTATCCTATAACATATAGGGGTGAGTCATTTAGGAAGTATACAACTGTTGGTGTGATTTTAAAGAATACTATATATTAAGAAAGTGCCTTAACCATCACCAAAAAGTACTCAAGTGAAAATGAAGATTAAAAAAATAGTAGATGTTTCTGTGGACGTCAGAATGCCCTCTTCCCTTTTGGCCTCACTAATTCAAAATTGAGTATGAACATAAGAAAGTAAGTTATCTTAGTTTTCCAGTGTATGAAAAATTAATAGAGAAAAGGTAAAGACTATGTTAAAATGCAGTTTATGTTCTCATATTAATCTAGATGAAAGACAAAATGTTCTAAAAATTTTACACTTCTCATTTATAACTAGTTAGAAATTTGAAAAGAATAATAAAAAAATAATTTTTTTCAAGAAAATAATTGTTGTGATTAAGTGGCCAGAATACAGAAATGATTTGTTTTAGATAAATAAGAAAACTGAAATATAACATTCTCCTATTTCCCCCTCCAGTGCTAAAATAAGAGATGCCTATTCTACTTTTTAAGGGGAATTCCTTAAATTCCACTGGTGCCTTAATTCCAAAAAGACCTAATTCCCACAACAATTCCTCTCTAGCCTGTTCAATTTTTTCCTATTGGCACTTTCCCCTTTGCCTTCAAACACGGATAGGTCTCTCCAATCTTAAAAGAGACTTTCTCTTGTCCCCAATACTTTCTCTAGCTTTGGTCCTATTACTCTCTTTGCTTTGAGAACCATTATTCTTAAATGAGGGGTTGACACCTGCTGCCTCTGTTTTCTTACCAATCTTGAACTCAAGCTTCCATCCTCACAATTCACAGAAAATTACTCTCTTGAAGGTGACAAAACCTTTTTCCCTAACAAATTCAAAAAGGCCTTTCTCAATTTTCCTTTCCACAAACCTTTCTGCTGTGTTTAAAACTTGATAATTTTGTTCTTTTTGAAACTCTATCAGGTCTTGGCTTCCATGAGGGTATATCATTTATTGCCTAACACTCTGATCCCTCTTTTTCCTATTTCTTAACTGTGGGTGTTTTTCAATGACCAGCCCTTGGCTCTGTTTTATTTTCAGCACACTAACTCTCTTTCTGACAGAACTTATTCATTTTATGGCATTAATATATTCATCTTCATAAATATGATTCTGAAATCCTCAATCCAGCTCTGACTTCTTATTAACTCTAGCTGTGATCCTCCATCTGTCTGCTGGACGTTTCCACATAAATGTTCTAGTGTCACTTTGCATTCAATATACTCAAAATCAAATATATATAATCCATTCATGAATAATTTATAAATAAAAAATCCTATTTTTACTTCAGTCTATTCACCTACACTCCAGTCCTAATAATAGAAATAGTATTTTATCATTCATTCATTCATTAAACACACTAGAAACAAAGTTTAGATGAGACATGGTTATTGCCCTCAAGGAGCTTACAATCTGGAACAGGGAAAAGCTACAGATATAGGTTACCATAACACACAGTATAATAAAAATAGCTAGCATTTATATTGTGATTTATTATTGCCATTTTACAGATGAGGAAATTGAGGCTGAGTTTAAATGACTTCCCCAAGTTCACACAGCAAGTTAATTTCTGAAGCAGGCCTTGAGCACAGAGATTCCTGACCTCCCATGTCTAATAAAAATATTTTAAGATTTCCAAAATAAAGTCATATGGGAGGTCCATGAAGAAAGGTTGTTATCGACGGGGGAATCAGGGAAGGTTTCAAAGCAGGAATTGAAATTGTTTTAAAGAATGGGATGGAATTAAAAAAAAAAACCAGAGGGGATGGAAAGGGATACAGGAATAGGAAAGATTATGAACAAAGGCATAGAGGCAAGAAAGTACAAGGCATTTGAGAGGCGCAGAGTAGTCTAGTTTGGCTGGCGCACAGAACACATGGAAGGAAATAACCTGAAGTTAAGATTGGAAAGGTAGAGTGGAGTCACACTGTGGACAGCCTTGAATTCAAGATGAAGGATTTTAAGTTAGAGGAGTGACATCATCACATCTGTAAACTAGGGAATGTGGAAGCTTAAGATCTAGGGACCCCGTAATTAGATAATTAAGCCAAAGTTTACTAAAATAAGGGTATAATTTAAGGAAGTGTGTCCTGGACCCCCTGTAAATCTACATCACTGACTGAGCCCAATGTTTTTTCCACAGAATATTAGTCTGACTAGAAAGTGGCACAGGAAAAGACAGCAGGTAGGGAGCAGAAGTTTTTTTGTGATAGTTCAAGTGTATTCTCATGAGGACCTTTGTCTAGAGTGGTGGCAGTGGAAATAAGGAGGAGATGGGTGTGAGAGATGCTAACGATGGTGGAATCAACAGGCGTCAGTGAGAGCTCAGATCTGACAGCTGAGGGAAAGGGAGGAGCCAAAACCAGCCCTAGTGTTTTGAACATGGGAGACTAGATGAATGTTGGTGTGTACCACTAATAGAAATAGTGAAATCAGGAGAAGGAAATTTAGACAGAAAGATTGATTTTGGCAAATTTGAGATGAAAGTAGAACAACTAGGAGCCAGTTGGAGATGTTAGTCTAGAGCTCAAAAAAAAAAAAGTCAAGGTTGGAGAGATACATCTTAGATTCATCTAGACAGAGGTCCTAAGTGGAAGTCATGGGAAACTGTCAAAAGAGCCTAAAACACAGTGAAGAACAGAACCCTAGGGAACACTCACCTTAAGAAGTCAAGAAGAGAACAAGGATCATCAGAAAAAAATAGCAAAGGAGGGGTGAGTGAAGTTGGAGAATCAGGAAAGTTGGGATCTCTAAAGATAAAGGAGCAGAGGGTATCCAAGAAGACAGAATGATCAACAATATTCAATGAACCTAAAAAGGTCAAGGAGGATGAGGGCTGAGAAAAAGGCCATTATATTTGATGATTAGGTCACTGTTGACCTCTGAGAGGAGCAGCAGTACAGTGGTGAGGGTAGAGGCCAGAGCACAAAGGACTGGTGGTGTGGATATAAAGGCACCACTTTTATGACAATTTAGCAATGAATGGAATGAGAGAGATGGAGTGGTAGCTAAATGGGATAGGAGCAAGAATGTAGGGATTTGAGGAGAAATGAAAATTGTTTTAGGCAGATGCAAAATAGTGACAAGAGATGGAGAGATTAAAGATACATGAGTGATGACTGATGGATTAAGATCCTGAAGTGGGAAAAAATGGGACCAAGGGCTCAGACAGATGGGATGAAGGGCTCAGATGGTGGAATAAGATTTAGTGAGGTCTTTTATGATTAAAGGGATAGCAAGCATATGATAATGCTGAGGAGTTTTGGGGAATGCAACTGAGGATGGTCTCAATATTCTTAGGGGCTAAATTATCTGTGATCAGCACTGGGAAGAAAGGCCCAGTTTAGGGTTTGAGGAGTCCTGTAGACTGGCTGTGGAGAAGGAGATATAGAGTCAATATGACTACACGGACTACCTGGCTGTTTACAATCCACTGTAAATTTGTAGTAGATGAAATTACTTCAGATTTGTAGCTCTCTCCAACAATGTTTTGCCTGAGATGAGAAGCAGAGAAAGCAAATAGTAGGGGGATTATCAGATTGCAAACAGCAGACAAACAAAGAAGGAAAAGCTTCTACAGTAATAGTCAGTGATCTTTAGAGGGGTTCCCCCTAAACTTGAGGTCTTCAAGTAAAAGTTGGTCAAGTAAGGGTCAGACAAGATGGCCTTTGAGGTCTCTTCCAGCTCCATGATTCTGTGAGTCCATGAAATATTGGTGGTAAGTCTAGTGTAGCATAAGGATGGCAAACCTGCAGACTTATGGGTCAGGTACTCTGAAAAGATCAGAACTGAGCTTTACTTGCACTAAGTAAAATTGTAGTTTGGGGAAATAGTGCTCTCCGGAGTTAAAGCAGATCTATTATTCCCACAGCTAGTTCTTAGCTCCTCCGATTTTACTTTGACCAAAGTAAAAGAATATCTGACAATCCCCTAGAACAGTCATTCTGGTCACCTTGAGGAACCTGTATCTTTTTTTTTTTTTCTGTAAGGCAATCAGGGTTAAGTGACTTGCCCAGGATCACACAGCTAGTGAGCATTCACGTGTCTGAGGCCAGATTTGAATTCAGGTCCTCCTGACTGCAGGGCCTGTGCTCTATCCACTGCACCACATAGTACACACACACACACACACACACACACACACACACACACACACAGAGACACGTGTGTGTGTGTGTGTGTCTGAAAAAATTTTTTTTTTCCTTACCAACTAGCCATGTGACTGAGTTAACCTGGAGACTCTTTGGAACTTATTTTTCTCATAAGGCAGTTGGACTAAATAATCAGTCCGACCCCTTTGCTATGACTCCCTGATAGTACATAATTTAAGTTACTCTATCTTGGGACCTTTTCCCTTGGCAGTTGTGAATCATAATGGGATAGATATACAAGAGTGATTTTCCTTCTTACCTGTGAATATAACAGTGTTGAGACTAGATTTTCCCCAAAGTTCCATGAAATGTACAACATCTCCAAATCGGAGGGAGGGATGACCAGTGAAAACTACACATGGCTGTTTAAAATCATTGCTGAAGTCTCCATGGATGCTAGGATAGTGCTTCAGTTTGTTGGTCTGAATCAGCTGGAAAAAAATGTGAAAATGAAGATATATCAGACTATCTATGATGAAGAGAAGTGCAAAGTCTTGCTATTTACTGCTGCAGAATGGGAGTGCAGGTGGAAATGTACTTATGAAACAAAGTGACTTTATTTAAATTGGCCAAGTACCATCGAAGTTATGTAGTATGGCTTTCAGGGCAAAAAGCAATTAAGCCCTTTTGTTAATATCAACTCACTTAAAAGAAAGTTTTCTTCCATGTACCATGTCATCTGTCACTAATTTACTGAAGTGTGCCTATTTACTATCACACTTAATGTCATATGAAATGCTAAAGAGTTTTCTTCCAAAGAGCCTACAATGTCATTTACTGATTGTATGCTATGCAAAGTGTTTTCTAGCAATTCATGTTTCATAATGTTAAGCTCCTCATTCAATTTTGGCAGCAGTACACATATAAGGCTCAAACAAGGAAAATGACAGATACTAGAGAGCCTAAGCATCTGAAAATTTTGAATTGGGTATCTAGTATTTGTTCCACTTGTTGGGACATCTTCTGGGTATGCCTCCTCTACTATCTTGTGCTAAGGCTAAGGAGCTGGTCCCTACCACAAGTTCAGTCAAGCCCTTGAGCACCCAGACACTACAGTTATCACCAGCTACTGCCTAGTGCTCAAAACTGTAAGAGATCCCAAGCCTGAGGGAGACAGAGGCAGTAGAGTGAACTGAGGACTCACATCCATTACTGATCCCCAGCGTTTGGATGTTCCCATCTCTTGTACGTGGCAATTTCATCAGCTCCCAAAGGTTCAATTATTATCTCTATGCAGATAATTCCTAGATCTATTTATCCAGTCCTAGTTTCTCTCTTGAGCTCCAGTCCTGTATCACCAACCACCTGCTGGACATTTTTAAACATATGTCCTTTAGGCATCTCAAAATCCCAATTGGATCCCCCCTGCCATGTTCCTTCAGTTTTTTTAGCTTAATTTATTTTAAGGCAACCCTAATTCCACTGATTCTCACTCTCAAATTGCAACCTCTGTGCAGTCTGCTATCCATTTTCCTAGTGTTGGAGGTCTGTTTATCGAAAATTGTTTTTGGTTGCTTGTTTTTATCTAGCTATTAATTCTTTCCCTCCTTTTTTCCCTCTTAGTCAAGTAAGATTCCCTTCCTTGTCCCCTTTACCTTGTTTTGCTCATTAGTTTTTAAAATTTCATCTCCTGCACCTTTTTCTAAAAAGAATTTTTCCTCATTCTCCTATTTACCTTTGTGTTCTGTTTATTCTAGACTTTTATTCTTTGATTCATGTCCCTTTTACTCGTTTAGGAGAGAGGGTATTACCTCATGGTAGGAATTCTCCTATGTCCCTGATTGTGCAGTTCATTAATGACCTTTGCCCTACCCTTGGCTTTTTTTCCCTAGCTGTCTTGAAATCTCTTCCCTGGAATCATGCCTTCCCATTCTTCTGGGTGTCATTTGCCCTCAGGAGCTCTGACTGTCCTTTCTCTGAGGCAGGATGATTGGTCTAAGCATTAAATTCCTGCAGAACAAGATACCCATTTCCTTTACGAAATGTCTTTCTTCTCCCATGAGTATTTGTCAATAGTACCCCCTCCCATTACTGAAACAAGATTTTCCCTTTCCTTCCCCCTTTTTTGAATTCCTCCCTTTGTATTACTCACTTGCTCTCCGATAGGCTCTCTTCTTCCTGAGAGACTTCAAGGGTTATTTTCCCTTCACTGTTAACCTTTGACTTGATCAAGGTACATCACACAGTCCTCTTTATTTTCTTTCTACCCTTTTATACACTGTCTCATTTTTTAATTTAGTCTCACAAAAATAAAGTGATTCACCTGCAGGTGGGGTGTTATGAGATTTACCCTATGATGTTTCAGGCCTGTTTCTCTACCGTCACTACTGTTTACCTTATGCTTTTATTCTTGTCTCTTTGTGTATATTTGGAAAGAAATTTCTTAATGGTTTCTCTATTATTTTGTTGCTGACCTTAGCTCCTGTATTTGTTTACCTTTTCCTTATTTCTGCTGTTTGGAATGTCTGAGAAGCAAATAATTTCTTCAGACAGATCTAATTTTCTTTCTATGCATGCTTTGAATGCCTCTTTTTAACTGAACATTCATCTTTTTTCATTTAGAGTTAGGTTCAGATTTTCAGGGTAGATCATGCTGGGCTGCATCTTGAGCTCCATTGTTCTTTGGAACACATTATTCCAATTCTTCCTGTGGTTACTAGTGGGTGCAGAATAGTCTTGTGTTATTTGAATTTCCTTTCCTTTATTTCTTTCTCTTGGCCACTTGAATTTGTTGATTTCCGGTGGAATTGTTAAATTTAACCTATATGTATCTTGGTGTTTGCAGCATACGGTTTTTACCTACAGGTGCTCTGGATTTTGTCTTCTGTATTCAGAAGTTCTAGGCAGTTTTTCTGTATTTTTTTCTTGCGTTATGGTATTCAAGTTCTTTGACTTGTGTTCGTCTGGGAGTACTTTAATCTTTTAAGTTGTTTCTATGCATCTTGTCTTAAAGATCAATATGTTTTGCTTGAAATCATACTTCCTTTAAATGTTATTGCTTTTTGCTCCTCTTCTTTCAGACTGTCCTTTGTTTCCATGTTTATATTCCCTAGCACTTATGCTCTTTTGTTTCTTTGGGGAGACTTGCCACAGTGGATTTCAGTTTTTCTATTTTGCCAACTATTTCTACTTTGCAGGCCATAAACTGTGCTTTCATAATTCTCATTTCTCTTTTAAGCGATTTAGGAACATTCTCCTGTGGTTCCATGTTCTCTTGGGAATTCACAGGGTTATCTGCCTTATCAGGTATCGATTTTCCTTTTCTTGAAATACTTATTTACAGATGCCTGAACTCTCTTACCTGATCTGGAGGCCATGTTCCCTTCTGGTTTATCTGTTTGTGCTCAAGGTCTCTGATTTTGCTTCCTTCTGAGATCTTTTTTCCTTATTTTCTCCCATTGTGTCCTTTCTGACTCTTTCCAGGTTGATGGTGGTTTCCTTGAGGGCTGGATGTCAGAGCATCTTGGCCTTCTCTCATGCTGGGCAATCACACTTCAACATCCTTGGCCTCTGTTCCAAGTGACTTCTGCGGGGGCCAGAACTGGCCCCACTTGTCTGTTGGCTTCTTTCTCTTAGGCTGAGTGGAATGCAATCTATGTTTGCCCTATCATTTTTCCCCTCTGTTCCTCCATTTTCTGGCTGGGCTCTGTGGCAACAGAGAACAATTCCATTTGGTATGGCAGTTTGAGCAAATTTTTGCTTTTTGCATTTCTGTGGCACTGGGAGGAGGGAGGAAGTGGGGCTGGAGTGTGAAGTTGATTTCTATTTTCAGTTACTTGGGTCAGATTGTGCAGCTCTGCTGCTAGGAGTCTGGTGGGTAGTAGTGGAAGGGATGCTAAATAAATTCACTGGGTTTTTACCGTGTTTAGGTTCTTGGTGTCTTAAACTGTGGAGACAGCAGAAATTTCTTCATTCCTGGCACATAATTCTTATTTTGAAGAGGTTTGAGAGGATTAGAGGAAATGCCTAGTCTTATCTTGTTGGTCAGGTGACTTGGAAGTTGGCATCTCAAAATCAAATGGTCCAAAAGAGAACTTGGTATCTCTCCCACCTCTTCTGAATTTTCTTATAACAGTGGAGGGGACAACTACCATTCTTCTAGTCACCCAGGTCTACAAATACGGCATCATTCTTGACTCTTCTCTACAGCTTACCCCACATATCAATCGCCAGATCTTGTGATTTCTTTCTGATCTCCTTCTACCTCTTCACATACCATTAGGTCCCAAGTTCAGGCCCTTATTATCTCTTATATGGATTACTGCAATAGCCTTCTAATTAGCCTCCCTGTCTCGTTTCTTTCCACTCTAACCTACTCTCCACTCAGTTGACAAAGTGATTTTTTTCTAAAGTACTCCCCCTCGCCCCCACTCCCATCCTGATCAGTAAACCCCACTGGCTCCACATTACTTCAATATCAAATATAAAGTCCTTTATCTGGCTTTTAAAGCTCTCTGCAACTTGGTAACCTGGCTCCTTCATATCTTCCTCTTTTTCTTATACTTTACTCTGCCCCTTCCATATTCTATGATCCAGCCATATTGACCTACTTGCTGTTCCTCAAACTCAACAAACTCAAGATCCCCCATATCTGTTCTTTTCAAGTAGTTGTTCCCCAGGCTTGGAATGCTGTCCTTTCCAATCTCCACCTTCTGGCTTTCCTGGCTTCCTTTAAGACTCAGCTCTAGTGCTCCCTTGCTGAGGAGGCCTTTCTTGGTCCATCCAGCTGCTAATGCCATTCCCTTTAAGGTTACCTTTCATCTTCTTTGTATTTATCTTGGATATTCTGATTTATAGGGGCTGTCTCTCCCAAATGATTGTAAACTCCCTGAGGACAAGAACTATTTTTGATTTCTCTATTTCAAGAACTTAGATACAATGTCTGGCACATAGTAAGCTTGTGGACTGACTGACTTTCTTCTTTCCTAACTGATTCATTATTGGCCTCTCCACAGCAGCTGTTCCAAAATTTCTCTGCTCTCCTTAAACCTTCTATACTGCCCAATCTCACGTAAGGACCTTACCTTCTAGTTTTAATTAAAAAAAACTGAAGCCATCATCATGAGCTTCCCCTTTTCTCTTATTCCATATCTCAAAATCTCTCTAATTCCCTTACTCTCTTCTTCCCCAACCCCAGATTCTCTCTTTGTTTTAGTCGGAGAAAAAGAGGTCATCCTTCTCCTTGCCAAAGACAACATACCTGTTTCTCCTCTTGATCTCACTCTCTCCTGTCTCTTTAGGGAGCTTACCCTCTTCATTCTTCCCTCTTCTTATCTTGTTGGTCAGGTGACTTGGAAGTTGGCATCTCAAAATCAAATGGTCCAAAAGAGGTCATCCTTTTCAATCTCTCCTTATGCCCTGACTCTTTCCCTGATGCCTACAGATATGTCCAGGCCTTCACCATCCTTAAAAAACACATACTGATCCTGCT